TTGGGGGGGGTGGGGGGGGTCCCAACAGGGCGAAAGTGCACGCGCCGAAGGTGCACGCATTCGAAGGAGGAGAAGGGCGCACGTGGGGCGTGGGGCGTGGAGGGGAGTGTGACGCACCTTGAGGAAATAGCGCGCGACCGCCGCGCCGCCCGGCGAGTGCGTCCACGCGCCGTCGAGCGGGCTCTGCTGCCTGCCCACGGCCAAAGGTGTGAAGAGACGCCGTTCACGCCCGCAGTGCCGCCGCCGCCGCGGGCTCCGCCGCGCCCCGGAAAGTCGCGCCCGAACGAGAGCTTCTTGATCTGGTGCGTCACGTTGAACCGGCCCGGCTCGGTCGCCTATCCGGACCCGACCCACATCTCTCGAACCTCGGCTAACATCGGCGAACCTCGGGCGAATCTCGGCGAATCTCGGCGAATCTTGGCGAATCTAGGCGAATCTCGGGCGCATGTCGGGCGCATGTCGGCGAACCTCAGCGAATCTCGGCGAATCTCGGCGCGGCGCGCCTGCTGCCGCGACGTCGGCAGCGCGAGAGCAAGCAGAGACTTCGGCGCGTGCACCTTCGGCATATGTCGTGGACGTGTCACGTGTCGTGGGCGTGTCGTGGGCGTGTCGTGGACGTGTCGTGGGCGTGTCACGTGTCGTGGACGTGTCGTGGGCGTGTCGCGGGCGTGTCGTGTGCATGTCGTGTGCGTGTCGCGTGCATGTCTCGGGCGTGTCGTGGACGTGTCGTGGGCGTGTCGTGGGCGTGTCGCGTGTGTCGGGGGCGAGCCTCGAGCGTGCCATACAAGTTGCACCCCTCGCCGCCGTCGTGCGAGACGGCCCGCCGCCGCTCCTCGCGCGCGCACTGCGGGATCGAGCTCATCGGCGGCATACCCCACCTGCTCACAACCCGAACCCCACCTGCTCACAACCCGAACCCCACCTGCTCACAACCCGAACCCCACCTGCTCACAACCCGAACCCCACCTGCTCACAACCCGAACCCCACCTACTCACAACCCGAACCCCACCTGCTCACAACCCGAGCCCCACCTGCTCACAACCCGAGCCCCACCTGCTCACAACCCGAACCCCACCTGCTCACAACCCGAGCCCCACCTGCTCACACCCCGAGCCCCACCTGCTCACACCCCGAGCCCCACCTGCTCACAACCCGAGCCCCACCTGCTCACACCCCGAGCCCCACCTGCTCACAACCCGAGCCCCACCTGCTCACAACCCGAGCCCCACCTACTCACAACCCGAGCCCCACCTACTCACAACCCGAGCCCCACCTGCTCACAACCCGAACCCCACCTGCTCACAACCCGAACCCCACCTGCTCACAACCCGAACCCCACCTGCTCACAACCCGAACCCCACCTGCTCACAACCCGAGCCCCACCTGCTCACAACCCGAGCCCCACCTGCTCACAACCCGAGCCCCACCTGCTCACAACCCGAGATCCCATTGTGATGAGGTGATGAGCAGTACGATGTGCGTATCCCCCACCTGCTCACACCCCCGACCCGCTCAGGCTCACGGTCTGTCGCCTGGACGGTAGCCTCGATCGGACCGCGAGGCCCGCGGCTTCCGCACGTCATATCTCCCCATATCTCCCCACATCCCCCCACATCTCCCCCACATCTCCCCACACCCCCCCACATCTCCCCCACCCCACACCTCCCCCACACCTCCCCCACATCTCGCCCCCATCTCCCCACATCTCCCCCACATCTCCCCACACCTCCCCCCCATCTCCCCACATCTCCCCCCCATCTCCCATCTCCCCCCCATCTCCCCCCCATCTCAGGCGCGGCCCGCCGCTTCTTTCGGTACGCCGCGCGCACGTCGTCGCACGTGTTGCAGCACGACCCGTCCGGCGCGGCGCCTGAGACGTGGGGAGATGTGGGGAGATGTGGGGAGGTGTGGGGAGGTGTGGGGAGGTGTGGGGAGGTGTGGGGAGGTGTGGGGAGATGTGGGGAGGTGTGGGGAGGTGTGGGGAGATGTGTGGTGGTGTGGGGAGATGTGGGGAGATGTGGGGAGGTGTGGGGAGATGTGGGGAGGTGTGGGGAGATGTGGGGAGGTGTGGGGAGGTGTGGGGAGATGTGGCGAGATGTGGGGAGATGTGGGGAGGTGTGGGGAGGTGTGCCGAGGTGTGGGGAGATGTGGGGAGGTGTGGACCCCTCCGCCGCGGCGCCTGCTCACAACACCTCCCGCTCCAGCCTCACCACGCTGCGGGACTTGTGCGGCCGGCGGAGGGTGCGGGCGCCGTAGCACGAGCCGCACGCCTCCGCATCGCCCTCTCCAGCCATCTCTTTGTGCAGCGCCTCGAGCTGCGCCTGCGCACACACCCCGCCGCAGCGGCGCGTGAGACGAGGCGCCGTCCACAGCTGCTGCCTCCTCCGCCGCGCCCGGGGGGGGGAGATATGGGGAGATATGGGGAGATATGGGGAGATATGGGGAGATGTGGGGAGATGTGGGGAGATATGGGGAGATGTGGGGAGATCTGGGGAGATATGGGGAGGATGTGGGGAGATGTGGGGAGATATGGGGAGGATGTGGGGAGATGTGGGGAGATATGGGGAGGATGTGGGGAGATATGGGGAGATATGGGGAGGATGTGGGGAGATGTGGGGAGGCTGCACGCCTGCAGCTTCGCCTCGAGCTGCTGCCGCCTCTCGCCCCTCTCGCCGCCCTGCAGCGGCGCGACCAGCGACTCGAGCGCGGCGACGATCCCGTTGAGCCGCTCCTGCGAAAAGGAGAGAGAGAGAGGCGCCGGGGTGAGAGCGAGGGGCGAGACACCGGCGCAGAGACCGCGCCGCAAGTTGAGCCGCTCCTTATCCTCCGGCAAAAGGGGCGTGGGCTAAACCGCGCGGTGTGGCGGTGCGGGGCTTGGAGGAGACGACGGCTTGCAGGGGCCTCTTCTGCGCCGCCGAGATATGGGGAGATATGGGGAGATAGGGGGAGATATGGGGAGATATGGCGAGATTGCAGCGCCTCTTCTGCGCCGCCGAGATATGGGGAGATACGGGGAGATAGGGGGAGATGTGGGGAGATATGGTGAGATTGCAGCGCCTCTTCTGCGCCGCCGAGCGCCGCCGCGACGCTGGTGACGTCGGAGAGGAGCAGCTTGATCGAGGCGTACCTGTTGTGTGCAGAAAAGACGGATGATGAAAAGACGCTGCTGACGTCGGAGAGGGGCAGCTTGATCGAGGCGTACCTGTTGTGTGCAGAAAAGACGGATGATGAAAAGACGCTGGTGACGTCGGAGAGGGGCAGCTTGATCGAGGCGTACCTGTTGTGTGCAGAAAAGACGGATGATGAAAAGACGCTGGTGACGTCGGAGAGGGGCAGCTTGATCGAGGCGTACCTGTTGTGTGCAGAAAAGACGGATGATGAAAAGACGCTGGTGACGTCGGAGAGGAGCAGCTTGATCGAGGCGTACCTGTTGTGTGCATAAAAGACGGATGATGAAAAGACGCTGGTGACGTCGGAGAGGAGCAGCTTGATCGAGGCGTACCTGTTGTGTGCAGAAAAGGCGGATGATGAAAAGACGCTGGTGACGTCCGAGAGGAGCAGCTTGATCGAGGCGTACCTAACCCATTCATGGTGTCTCCATGTCACTCACCCCCCACCCCACTCCCTCCCCCCCCGCCAAAGAGGAGCAGCTCTCGGCCCAAGCAGGCGTGCTAGCCCATGGGTGGTGCCACTCCCTCCCTTCGCCATAGAGGGGCAGCTCTCGGCCCAAGCGCGCGCGCCTCTCCCGCCGGTCGATGTCTGCTGCAGAGATGAAGCCCTGCACGTTGTCGTCGAGGATCGCGAGCCGGATGGAGACCGCCTTGACTCGGTGTGACTCGCACGGTCAGTGACACCTTGCTCAGCGAGAGAGAGAGAGAGAGAGAGAGGAGAGAGAGAGAGAGGGAGAGAGAGGGGGGGAGAGAGAGAGGGAGAGGGAGAGGGAGAGAGAGAGAGAGAGAGGGAGGGAGAGAGGGAGGGAGGGAGAGAGAGAGAGAGGGAGAGGGAGAGGGAGAGAGAGAGAGAGAGAGGGAGAGAGAGAGGGAGAGAGAGAGAGAGAGAGAGGGAGAGAGAGAGGGAGAGAGAGAGAGAGGGAGAGAGAGAGGGAGAGAGAGAGAGAGAGAGAGGGAGAGAGAGAGAGAGAGAGAGGGAGAGAGAGAGAGAGAGAGAGAGAGAGAGGGAGAGAGAGAGCCGCCTCACGCAAGACGCACAAGCAAGCACAGGCAGTCGAGAAGGGAGAGACAGCAACGACAGTCAGAAGCCAGCGCTGGGTACCAGGAAGGCGAATGCGATGGCGGCCTCTACTGCGAGCTCTAGACTAGAGAGAGAGAGAGAGAGAGTCGCCTCCCGCAGGTTGGCTTGAGAGGCGTTGTCCGCCGTCTGGATGCGGAGGATGTTAGAGCGCATGGCCGCGAGGTTGTCCAGGACGTGCGCACGCTGCCCCTCGGAGAAGAGCGCCGACGCCTGCTCCTCAAATCCTCCCCATCACCTCCTGCTCCCCGGCTACCGCCACTCGGGAGACGAGCGGCGACGCCTGCACAGACTCGTGCATCCTCCTCACCTCCTCCTGCCCGCCCTCGAAGGCGTCTGCGCCGCCCGCCCCTCCGCCCTCCCCTGCCCCCTCCCCCGCCGCCGCGGCGCGGACCAGCGTCTGCAGCCGCCCCTGCAGCAGCGCCGACTGCTCCGCCAGCTCGCGCCGGTGCGCCGCGTGCTCGTCCGCACTGAGGCGCGGGTTCTCCTCCTCCTCGTGCTCAAAGTGGTGGAGGGTCTCGTCGAGGTGGGCGCGCGCCTCCTCCATCAGGCCGACGAGCTTGCGCTGCGCAAACGCGGGCGCCACCGTCTCGTTCCACAGCACCGCGCGCGGGACGTCGATCGGCACGCCGTGTCGGTCGACGCGCAGCTTGTGCAGCGCGGACGCCACCTCGAGCTGCTGCATCCCCGACTGGTCCTGGACCTCGGCGACGACCTCCGGGCAGGGAAGGTTGGGCAGGTATATGTCGAGGTTGAGGAGGATCCGCTCGTCGGTCGCCGCCCGCGACGTGTCCACCTCGAGCCGGTCGACGGTGTGCACCGCACGGAACTGCGTGAGCTCCGAGAGAAAGAGGTTGAGCGCGAGGAGGCAGCAGCAGAGCGAGATGAAGCCGCCGCCGAGCGTCCGCTCCTTCACCTCCTCGACCGATTTGGGGAAGAAGTCAAGCTGCTGGAGCCCCGAAGGCATCAGCGGCGTTCGCGGCGGCCTGATAGCCTCGGTGCTATTTCTTTTTACTTTAAAGAAATCCGACCGTGGCAGGCATCTGCGGCGATCGCGCCGTTAGCAACTGCCATGACGGCTGGTCGTCGGCTGCCGCTCTCGCCTCACTGGCGGCGCGGTCTGGTACCGCTACTCCCAGCTCTCCTGCCTGTCTGTGTGTGGGCCCGTGGCGGCTCGCCGCCGCGGGCGGTTCTGAACAATAGGAGCGGTCCGGGTCCGTCCCGGCGTGCCGCCGGTGCCGCTTCTTCGGACCACGCGTTGTAATCCAGTCCAGATGTACTCCAAGTGCTCCAAAGGCTCCCTTGGGTTTGGGGGACTGTTTTCTTTCTTTGGGTGAGTCACACACAACATAACGCTGTGCTCGCAGCGCTCTGGGTGGTGGCGGCGGCGCTCCAAGAGCGGCGCTCCAAGAGCGGCGCTCTTGGGAAGAGGTTCATCCCCCCCCGCCCCCCCCGCCCCCCCCGCGGCGAGACACACAACCAACTACCTAGCACGCAACCGGGGCGAGTCGGTCTTCCTGTACGAGGAGCAGCTCAAGCTGCCGATGGTGTCGATGGTGATGCCAGTCAAGTGGGCTGCCATCAAGAGCCGCTCTCCCAAAGAGAACTGGAAGAGCCAGCTTGTCTCGATGTACTCGGGCTCGATCGAGGCCATCTTTGCCGTCGAATCGGAGGATGACGGCGCAGTCCAGGTGGTGAAGGAGCTGCAGGAGGAGCTGGCGCATTTGGAGGGAGTCACCATCAAGGTCGCCGTCGCCGGCCCGGCCACGACGTGCAGCCAGAAGATTGCAAACATACTTGCCGCGCTGCGTGCCGTCTCTCCCGAGAGCCGGTACATCTTCTGCATGGACGCAAACTGCAAGTTGCACCCCGGCACGGTGCACCTGATGATGAACGAGCTGGAGAACGACGCTTCAGTCTTTGTCGCCACAGGCTACCCATTCGACATGCCGCCGGAGAATGCAAGCATCTGGGCGCGCCGCCGGCGGAGCCAGAGCCGCCACCAGCCGCCACCCGCAGCCACCCGCCGCCACCCGCCGCTGCCGCCGCTGATCGTTGATTCCTGACGGACGCGCCCTCCCCTCGGCGCGGCGCCGCCAGGCGTGGACGATGGCGCAGTTCCGGTACAACTGCCTCTCCGAGTTCCTCTCCAACCGCTCCACCTTTGTGTGGGGCGGCGCGATGGTGTTGCGCCGCGCGGACGTGGAGCAAAATATGTACGGCCTGCTCGATTGGTGGCGAAAGGGTGGCTACTCGGATGACATGCAGGTGCAGGCATGCGCGCAGGATGCGGGCCGGATGATTGCCACGCCCCTCTCGGCCATCTTTCCGAACGAGCTTAAGAAGGACGTCACCTTTGACTACTGCTGGGGCTTTCTGCGGCGGCAGAACTGGGTGCGTACCGAACTCACCTCCTCCTACTCCGCATCGCACCCCCCCCCTCCTCACCACCGCCACCTGGCTCGCAGGTGCTCTTCACCTATTCCTCGTGGAAGAACTGGGCGCGCCACATGACTCTTCTTTTCCTGTACGCGGTGCCAAACGCCTCCTGGCTGCCCGCCTTCCTCCTCTCTCTCGCCTCGCTGGCAGAGGCGCCGCTACGACCCGCGCGCCTCACCGAGCCGGCGGTGGCGATCCATCTGGCAGCTTGTGTCGGCTTCCTCATCACCTTCCACGCCGCAATCGCGGTGCAGCGGCGAAACCTGGAGGAAAGCCACGGCCCAAAGACCCGTCCCGCCCGCCCGCCAGCATCGACCCCGAAGCTCACCGACACGCGCCCGACCGTCGCGTCCAGGCCATCGCAAACATGTGCAACCATCTCTCCCCCGAAGCGCAACGACTGTCACTGGCCCAGTTCACGCCCTTCTGCCTCGGCTCCTCGCTGCTCATGCAGTCCGCGCTCGCGCCGGCGGTGACAATCGCCAACCTACTCAACACTTCGATGGAGTGGGGCAACATCCGGTACGAGTGCCGCTGGGGGAGGGTGGTCGAGGTTCAGCACCCGCACTCGAGCCCCGTCCGCGTGTCACAGTCGCTGACCTGAGGGGCGAACCACCTGTATATTTACCGGGAGAGGCTCGGACCAGACTCCGGCGGCACAGAGCACAGACGTTCTCTCTGCACGGCATGCAGGGTCCACGCGCACGGAGACGCGATCGGGGTCACGATAATAACACATGATGGCAGGTCGCATTGGCATTGTAGAACAGCGAGTCAGAGCCTCACGGTGCGTGCGCATGCTTTCACGTACAGAAAGAAACGTAAACGCAGGCCCAGGTGTCACCGTCTCTGGTCCCACGTCTGCACCGCGGGCCGCCCTCGGAGGACGGAGCCCTCACTGAACGTGTCACGGGCCGACAGGCCGATACAGACGGTCTCTGCCGGCCGGACCGCCGTCATGCGCCACGTAGAGGAGGCTCCCCTCCACCAGCCGCTCGACACTCGGCTCGAGGTCGGCCAGTCGAGCCTGCCAGCCGCCCGCGCGCACCGTCTGCCGCAGCTCCGCGAGCGAGACGCCCACTGCGCCCGCGCGACCCTCCTCGCGCGCGAGCGCCTCGCACCCGTCGCTCACCTGCCGGGGGCGGCGCCGCGGGCTCAGGCCGGGGCCGGGCGGGGCGGGAGGCGCAGAGGGCGGCGGCGGCAGCCGCTGCGCAACGCGGGCGCGGCGGCGGGCGGGAGGGCGAGAGCGGACGGCGGTGGCGACAAACTCGTCGAAGCGCCGCCGCACAGCCGCCTCGCCCGACGCGGCGCCCGTCGCCGGCTCGACCGCTCCCTCGGCCAGCCCAGCCGGCGCGCTCTGCGGCGCCACCGCCGCGCCCGGGTATCGGAAGGCTCGGTGGTATGTCGCCTCCCACATCCTCTGCGCCTCTGCCCAGTGGAGAGGCTCGCCGAGCGGGTCGGGCTCGGGCCACGCGCAGTCGACGCGCAGCTGCCGCGACTCGCGAAAGTACGACAGGCTCCCGTGCACGTGCAGGCATGCGCCGAGCGGAGGCGCCGCCCGCGGCTGCCTCGACGGCCCGGCCTCTGTGGCTGCGCCGTCCCACCAGATGCACGGCAGCAGCCCGGTCGAGTCGTCGATCATGAAGTGACTGCTGCTGTCGCGCCGGTAGCTCTCGACGACGACGCCGCAGACCGAGAAGAGGTGCACGGCGCGCGCACCGAGCCACCAGACGTGCTGACCGCAGCCGCCGCCGCCGCCCTCGCGCGGCACCGGCTCGTTGGCCAGCGCGATCGTGAGCGCCTGAGCGACGAGCACCTTGGCGTACGCGTGGTAGGTCGGGTCGCTGCCCCAGTGCGCGGGCGGCGTGCGGCGCTGGATGGACATGCTAAGAGCGGTGTCGACCAACGTGAGCGAGAAGAATTTTTTATATTCCGATACTAGGTAAGGTAAGGTAAGGTAAGGTAAACTTCTCCACACACACGAGGTGGTGGGGCAAGGGGGGGCAACCCTCGCGTCTCCACGTCTGACGACAGGAGCCCCACGGCATTCAAAGTGCAAGACCCAGTGCGCGTGGGTGAGCGGTGTGTGTGTGTGTGTGTGTGTGTGTGTGTGTGTGTGTGTGTGTGTGTGTGTGTGTGTGTGTGTGTGTGTGTGTGTGTGTGTGTGTGTGTGTGTGTGTGTGTGTGTGTGTGTGTGTGTGTGTGTGTGTGTGTGTGTGTGTGTGTGTGTGTGTGTGTGTGTGTGTCTCACGTCACTGCATCCTCCGCCGGTTCCTCCCGTCGCCTCTTCTTTGTTCGAATGTTTTTCAATCCATCCTTCACGAAGCCCTCCCATGTAGCTAGCGTTCTTGGCGAAACCTTCAAGCGGCAGCACGAGGACGAGTCGAGCTGCTCGACCGGGTCGCGGCTGTCGTTGCAGGCCCCTCCTGTGTCAGTCGTCCCTGCGTTACATTCTTCCCCGTCTTTGCCGAAAACAAGCAAAGGAGCGGGCGGGCTGGAGAAGGGGAGACGGGGAAGGAAGGGTGGGCTCGAGGACACAAGGGGGGGGACACGGTGGGGTGTGGAACACGGTGTGTCCCCCTGCCTCGAGGCTCAGCCAGCTCCCGAAAGAGTCGCTCTTCGGTTGAGGTGTGTGGCCCGCTCCCCTGGCCGCCGCCCCGGAAGGGGGGGGCAGAGCTTGCAATGACCCCCCGCCCGCGCCGCGCTGAATGAGGCAGCGCTCGTGCACAAGAGATGTTGAGTCTCCGCGGCCGTGGCCTCTCAGCAGGAGCAGCTCTCTATGAGCGCTCCTGGGCCGCATCCGCCGCCACCCTGGCTGCAACCGCCCTGGCCATCGACGCGGCCGCAGCGGCACCCCTCGCCTCCGCAGCAACTGCCGCCTCCTCGAGCGCTGTCTCGCTCCCCTCCAACGCCGACCCGGTCCCGCTCAGTGCCGCCGCCGCCGCCTCTAGCGACGCCTTGATTTTCTCAAACGCAGCCTTAGCCTCTCCATGCGCCGCATTAGCCTGGTGGCGCTTCATGTTCACAGCTCCCGTATTTGCAACTAGTCTTAAGAAAATCGGCCTCGCCGGCATGCGTCGCTGGGTTCCGCGCCGTTTTCTTCAATACTGCCGTTATTAGGCACAAACCCGACTCTCTCTCGCCTCTCTCTCGCTCTCTCAAACCCGCCTCTGAAGGACAGCTGACAGGGAGCTGAAGACACATATACATGTACATGTTGTTGTTGTGCAGGTCAACATGTAGAGGGTGTGCATGTACAACATGTAGAGGGTGTGGAGGGTGAGTTGACAAAATCGAGGGACGCGACCCACTTCGCCACAGACGGTCCCGCGCCTCGCCGCTAAGACGGCCGCACGACCGCAGCTCGTGTGCGTGCGGCCGTCTTTGTCCGGAGTGAAAAGTCCAACGCGTTCGTCGGTGGCGGCTTCCCTCAATTTGAGAATGAGATTTCTGTTCAACTCACCCTCCACACCCCGTAAGTCTGGCATGTTGTGCGAGTATATGGGACAAAAGCGTCGAAAATGTCCCAAAGAAGCGTGACTCGAGTTTGTGGCAGCCCCGCAGCCGGCGCGCGCTGCCAGGAAGCACCGCTCGCGTGTCGGCGGCACTCCCTGGCACCCAGTGAGTGCCGCGAACCGACCAGACCGAACAGGCTCGATGCCGCGCTCGCTGTGGGGCTGCCACAAAGTCGCCGCCGAGCGTGACACCGAAGGCGTCCCGTCGGAGGTGATGGAGTGTGAGACCTGAGGCTGCGGAGGTGACGCCTGAGGTACCGGCCCGTGAACAGCGACCCAGCCGGCGACCGCCACGGGCTCAGGCGAGACTTGTCGACGCGTTCCGGCTCAGCTTCACCGTGGTCATTGGGCGTCTGTCGACGTCAGGACCACCCATACAGCTCGCGGGTTTGAGGTCGCAAGAGCCAAGATGGTGGCGTTTGGACATCCCAACCATCACACAAGACAGCCTGTAGGTGATGGCGGGACGGCGCAGTGTTTGTGGCACTCGGCAGTAGGCACCCGCGGCACGGCCCCGCTGTCGGCTCTCGCGGGCTGCGGAACCGGCCCCAGAAGGGGACGGTCCGGGCGAGTGTGGCAGCTCCTGCGCTAGCATGGGCACCCTGTATCATAGCACTACTGATCCTGGTCATAAGAGCTGCCAGGAATAGCGTCAGGAGCCGGTAGGAGTCAAAACCCCTCATATTTGAGACATCGTGTCCCATATACTCGCACAACGAGCCGTCTGGTGCACTGGCAGGAGCCATACAGAACTAAATTTTATTAGCACTAACACTATCTCTATCTGGTACGTCGGTTTTACCGCGCTCCAAGCCTAGCCTACAGTAACCAGCTGGCTGGTTTACGTAGTGCACTAAACATCTCTGGCTGCAACCAGGCTGCAACGGCTGCAACGGCTGCAACGGCTGCAACGGCTGCAACGGCTGCAACGGCTGCAACGGCGCGCTCTCGTCCACGCGCGGGGCGCGCTGCTCAGACGGAGCACGTGACCTACACGTGACCGAGCACGGGCCGCCACGGCGGCGGCAGCGCGCGCCCCGCGGCCGCCGCGGCCGGCGCGACGAAAGCCGCGCGCCGTTGCGCCGTTGCGGCCGCGACGCCATCCGCTCAATCACGTGACACTAACGTGACACGCTCTCACGTACCACGCTCTCACGCGCACTGCGCCGGCGGTCGGCCGAGCCCTCGCCCTTCCCCCCCGCGGCGGCTGGAGCGGCTGCGGCGGCTGCGGCGGCTGCTGCTGCTGCGGCGGCGGCGGCGCGGCTCACATCTCGTCCTTGCCGGGCTCGGGCAGGTCGGCCGGGTGGATCTTCGAGCAGGTGCCGCACGCCTGCGGGCATTTCTCCAGCACGTCATTCGCATTTCTCCAGCACGGCATTCGCATGGAATAAGCTGGTGGCGCACGCCTGCGGGCAGTTTTCCATCATGAACTCCTCGTTCTCCTTGCAGCCGTCGTCCTTGGCCCAGTTGGGGCAGTCATTCTGCTTGTCCTCGCACGCGAGGGTGCAGATGCCGCACATGTCGGGGCACGTGCGCATCACCGCGCCCGGGTTCACCTTGCACTCGTGGTCGCCCCAGATGAGGCACTGCTTGCGGTCGCGGTCCTTACACTCCTTCGTCTTGTGCTCGGCCTCCGAGCACACGTTGCACGAGAACGGGCACCGCTCAAGCACGAAGGCCTCGTTCTCGCTGCACTGGCCCGAGGCGGCCCAACCCGGGCAGTTGTTGTCGACGTCGATGCACGAGCTCGTGCAGATCCCGCACGACACCGGGCACGTCGCCGTGATCGACGGGTTCTTCTTGCACTCGCCCGAGCGCGCCCAGCTTCCGCACTGGTCGTCCTTGTCGTAGCACTTGGGCTTACAGGCGCCGCACGAGGTCGGGCAGTTTTTGAGCATGTAGCCGGGGTTTTCCGTGCACTGCCCACCCTTGGCCCACCCCTCGCAGCCCGACCAGAGGTCGCGGCAGTAGTGCGAGCACAGGTCGCACGAGTGCGGGCACAGGGCCTTGACGGTGTCGCCGTTGGCGCCGTCGCAGTCGCCGTTCTTCGCCCAGTTCGCGCACGAGATGTCCTTGTCGTTGCAGTACCCCCACGCGTCGCACTGGTGCAGCAGCGCCAGTGTGGCGACCAAATGGCGCCACATGATAGCTCCACCGGGAGACGCTGTGCGCAAAAAAAAAAAACTCTCGCATCGGCCGGGCGCCAGAACGGGGGGTGCCGAGGCGCCGCCACCGTGCCAGTGCGCGCACGGGGCGGCGCTGAGGCCATCCGATCGGCGCCGCCACCGTGGTGAGCCCGGGGCGGCTCGCGTCGACACCATGCTTTGTGGCGAGAATCAGGGGAGGGCAAATCCGCCACAGAATGGCGCAAGACCGCCCTAGGGCGGTGGGCGGCCGCGGAATCGGCCGGACGATCGTGCCACACGTGATGCGTGTGGTGCAAAGTCGCCCGGCCCGCCTCGCCGGAGGCCCGCGCATTCGAGGAGCTGCTGGCCGCAGCGTTCCGACCCGGTGGATTAGAACGGGCCGCGTCGTCCTCGCTCAGCTTATGCTGCTCTCGGCACGACTCCTCTCGATAGGGTGGCACCACATGCGAGCGGCGGCGACTGTGGCAGCGTCCGGCGGCGATGAGGGCGAGGCGCGGCGCTTGGGGAGTGCCTACGGCGCGGTCCTCCAACTAGCGAGAGACGAGGCGGCACGGCGCGAGGCCGACCTCCAGCTGGCTCGCGACGAGGCTGCGCGGGCTGCCATCGAGCCGGTGGCGGACACGCCCGGATGGGAGGACACAACGCAGGAGGCGCTCTCGGGCGGCCTGCACGTGTTTGCCTACTTGGCGTGCGCGTACGACGGCAGGCAGAGTCAGAACGAGAGGGCAGCGGCGTTCTGGGAGGCCTTCGTAGCCGCAGCACAGGTGGAGATGAGCGGGGCGCGGGCGTCGCTGCAGGGTCTCTCCCCAGCCCAGCGGCGCGCCGGCGCCCGACTCGACGCGATACCGTGGAAGCTCCGGCGGACGCCATCCGCAGGAGCCGCCCACAGCATCGCGCACGCCCAACCACCCGAGGGACCAGGAGCGGGGACCTCGAGTGCGCAGACGGAGGCCGAGCAGGAGGAGACGCACGCGGCGGCGAGACGGCGAGCGGAAACGGAACAACGGCGGAAGGATCGATTGGTGGCGGACGCCAGGTGGTGGCGGGCGGCGCGGCGCGAGATGGACACCGCCCGCGCCAGAGTCTTGCAGGTGGCGCAGCGTGTCTCAGAAGGGCGGGGGAGGGCACGATACCCGGAGGTACTAATGGAGCTGCTGTGCCGGCAGTTCGACGCGCAGCCCCTGGGGGCTAGCTGCTGGGGGGGCAGGCCCTCTTCAAGGAAGCGTGGCGCCCGCGCGCGAGTTGGGCGGCGAAGACCATCGGCCCAGCGCTCCTTCACTTCGGCCAGATGGCCGTCGGACTGCGCAGCGGAGGCGAGGGCGTCGCCACTGCGCTGCAGCTCTACTGCGACTCGCCTGCGCTCGAGCAGCGAGCCGTCATCATCGCCCTCGACTACTCCAACGCCTACTCGACCAGTCTACTCGACGCGGCGGCGAGGGCGACCATCATGCTGATTGAGTGGGTGCAACAGCTCGACCACGAGACGAGAGCGGAGCTTGCCGTCAAGGACGTGGCTGAGGTGGTGCGAGCGGCAGAGGCGACGCTGGACGACCTTGCCTTCCTGCGGACCAACCACGGCGAGGTGCTTACCGTCGTCGACGGCAGCCTCGAACGCTTCGCCGTCTCCCTCGGCTTCACGCAGGGCGGCCTCTACTCCATGCTGGGCTTCTGCATCGCCGTCTGCTTCCTCGTGCTCAAGCCGCTCAAAGAAGATTACCCGGAGTTCGCGCCGAAATGCATCGCCGACGACGCTCACGTGCCGGCCGTCATCAACTCGCCCCGCGACATCCAACGCCTGGCGCAGTGGTGCCACGAGTACGTCGAGCTCTCGACCCGAGAGCTCAACCTCTCGGCGAACGCACGTAAGTTCAAGATCCTGCAATCGCGGGAATGGGCAGGCACGGACATCGATGTGACGCGGTTCCTCGAGCTCTTCCCGTCGCAGGTACACGAGGGCGAGCGCAAGCGACCGGCAGTGGTGCGCGGTGCACTCCGAGTCAATGGCGTCGGCGTCGGCTTCGACGCCACGGCGCGCACCGAGATCGTCGAGGACAAGGTGCTAGCGCAAGAGAACAAGCACAAAATACTCGAGAGGCTCACACCGGAACTAGGGCGGCAGACGGCCGAGCTCCTGGGACGGTTCACCCTACGAGCGTCCGCCACGTTCAACCACGTTGCGCGCGGTTGCGAGCCCTCGGTCACGCGCGGCCCGCTCGAGCACGCGGGCGAGATGCAAGCGCGGCTCTTCCGCGGGATCACGGCCACCGACCCCGCTGAGATCCGTGACGTGCAGCATGACGCCAACCCCGCCGGCCCGACGGTGCGACGGTGCGAGGAGTTGATGCACCTCTCACAGAAACACGGCGGCTTCGGCTGGTCGCACCCGCGGCTCGTCGCGCCGGCCGCCTCGACCGGGCGCGTGCTCGACGTCCTCTCTATGGAAGTTGATTAGTCCAAGCAGGCCGTCTTCCCCATCCCAGTCGGTTCGCGGCGGCGAGGGGCGAGGCTCCTCATCATCTAGTAGTCTGAGCGCCGCCTTGATATTCGCTCGTCTCGGCTCGGACGCCTTAGCCATGTACGCCCTGACTTCTTCCTGCACCTCCGTCGGCTCGGTTACGAACTCCTCGCCTGGCTCGTCGTTGTGCCGTACTTTCAGAAGAGGCGCGCCTTTTGCAAGTTTGCCCTTTGCCTTCTTCCCAAGGATGGCAGGGTTGCTCTCGGCGATGAATGCTTGTATCGTTGCCCGGAAAGTCCGCTCGCTACGCTCGGCCGCTTGGCGGATTTTCCTTCCAAAGAAGTCGAGATGCCTAGCCGACAGCGACACGGAAGAAGGCGACGGCGAGACCGACGGCACGGCGGGGAGGGTGAGGGCGGCAGCGGGGAGGAGTGCGGCGGCAACGGCAGCGGTGAGGGCGGCGGCGACGGCGGCGGAGAGAGCGGCGGCGACGGCGCGACCGACGGCGCGGCGGGGAGGGTGAGGGTGTGAGGCCGATCATGCTTGGCGGCAGAGCGGGGAGGAGTGCGGCGGCAACGGCAGCGGCGAGGGCGGCGGCGACGGCGGAGGAGAGAGCGGCGGAAAGGGCGGTGGAGAAGGCCGCGGGGAGGGTGGCGGAGAGGGCGGTGGAGGCGAGGGCGGCGGCGACGGCGGAGGAGAGCGCTTGCGGATGCGGTGGGGTTCGGGCGCAAGCTCCAAGCAGGGTAGGGAAGAGAGCGCACGTTTAGCTCAAGCGGCAGCACTCAGTCTCAGACAGACAGGGGATCCCCTATCATCCGGCTAGGAGGATAAGAAGAAACAAACTCGGCTTTGGGGGATGAACAAAAGGTCCCCACAGAGCCTCGCCTGAAAACAGAGGGTGTGACCTAGAAGCTAGATGCCAGAACCGGACCCATCCTCACTCGAGCTTGCCCGCGTGAGCTGCGAGAGCAGCCGGTCGCTCTCGAACTCCTCGCGGTCGCGCTGGCGCGCTGCGCCGTCGGGGCCGTAGGCGCCGAGCCGGTTCTGCGCCCTCTCGAGCCAGCCGTAGAGCTGAGGGCGGCAGCGCTTCAAGGCGACCGCCGCGTCCACCGCCGCGTGCCAGTGCTGCCGCGCGCGCATCCGTGCGGGCGGGAGGCGGACGACTCTGGTGCACGGAGGGAAGGTGTGCTCCGCAATCTCTGTGGTGGTCGGGACGACGACCTGTTTGAGGGCGCCGCAGCTCGAGAAGGCGCCGTGCTCGATCATCGCGAGGCTGGCAGGGAAGGTGATGGACGCGAGGGAGGCGTTGTAGGAGAAGGCCAACCGCCCAATGCTGATGAGGCCGTCGGGGAGTTTTACGTGGTTGAGGTCGTGGCACCTGGAGTCGGGTGCGTTGGTATTGTCGAGACAGATAGTCGAGTGTGTGGAGGCACACGCGCGCACCAGAGGAAGGCGCTTGGCCCGATGCGCTCCAAGCTGGCGGGAAGGCGGATGTCCCTGAGATTCCGGCATCCGGAGAACGTACCCCTTCTCAGGACCTTGAGGCCGGCGGGAAGGTCCATGGACCGGATGCCGCTCTCTGCGAAGGCATACTTTCCAACCGAGCAATCTTTCCAATCGTCAGGCAGTGTAATCGAGCTGAGCCTGCCGCAGCTCATGAAGCTGTAGGAGCCGACAGAGACGAGCGAGCTCGGGATTGTGACTTGTCTCAGGCTCGGCTTGGCGTAGAAGGCGCGGCGAGGGATGTGCGTCGTGCCGTCTGGCACCTCGACTCGGCAATGATATCCGTCCCAAGGCTTTGGGTCTGGTGGTGGTGATTTAAAGTACCTGAATATCTCGCGTAGTTTGCGCATCGCCAGGAAACGGTAGTGCAAGACCAAGGCCTGAGTCGTTCAAGACTAACCAGGACGGCAGCAGTGCAAGATAACGCAAGAGAAGGCCTGGAGTCGTTGGAGAGCCGCCGCCGGCGACGCGGTTTTTTCTTTTTTCCTGGCGCTATTCTTTATTTGCTGCTTCCTCGTCTACCGCCTGCGCCCGCCGCCGGCGAGCACACTAGTCACTAGAGTCGCTGCACACGCTACGCGGCCCGGGCCCCTCTGGCGCATAAAAGTTCTTTTACGATGCCGCGTCGCTCCTCTTGCTCTCTCTCCTCTTGCTAACCCTAGGCCCCAAATGACGTGTGAGTGTTAGAGTTAGTGTCTCGCAAGTCTCTCGCAAGTGTCTCTCAAGTGTCTCGCAAATGTTTCTCGCAAGTGCGTGTCTCGCAAGTGTCTCGCAAGTGTCTCGCAAGCGTACTGCTGTGTATACGTACCGGCCCTATATGCACCCATGTGTTCTCCTTATGCATTGGCAGGGTCAGACGTCGCGCGAATGCATAGCCCATGGCGTGTCTTATGCAATACATACGATCTTCTCGCCTTTATGTCTCAGCAAACACAGTGCAGCGCTGCCGATTTCGCACTATGTGCTACGCATTACCTATCCGTACTATCCATCACTCAGCGGCACCTGCACTTGGGAATACTATGGACCACGCATCACCGGAAAAAAAGACAACACGGACACGAAAAAAGAATCCTTGACCCCTACCTAGAATCCCTTTCGAACCCCCGACATAGGACCAAAACTCGAGATCCACCGCGCAGACAGACAAGAGACAGCGGAAACTACCCGACCCGGGACCCAGGGCGCAAAACCCAAGCCAATATACCGACACCCGCACCCGTCAAGCATTTACAGGCGAACACGCAGACAGGCAGCATACGCCCCGCCACCCAACGAATCGCCCTCATTCCTCCAGTTTTGTCAGTAAGATGTCTCGTTTTTGTTTTATGGTTTGTTTTAAAGTCGGGCCTCGCCGGCAACAGCACTGCGAGCGCTGACATGCCCCTTCGGGGCCGAGGAGGAGTTACAGAGGGTGTCAAACGTGAACCTCGTGTGGTAGAGGAGAGTAGCGAGCGTGCTCGACGAGAGCATCCCGCCGGCGGCGTCGGGCGCGGCGTGCGGGAACAGCATGTAGAAGGTGGCCCACCGCAGCAGCATTTGCAGGTAGGCTTGAGGCACTGCGCAAGTCCACATGCCGTGCGCCATGCAAAAGTAACGCAAACTACGGGCGGTGCCCAGCGCTCGGTCGCACAGCAGTCGCGCCGGCAGCTGAAGGGTCGACGATGTCAATCAGCACCGCCGATGGTGAGAGCGGAGGCGCGTCCGCCGCCTCTGCCGCAGCGCCATCGGCGGTGAGCAGGCGAAGCCGCAGATTGGCTGGAGAAGGGGAGACGGGGAAGGAAGGGTGGGCTCGAGGACACAAGGGGGGGGACACGGTGGGGTGTGGAACACGGTGTGTCCCCCTGCCTCGAGGCTCAGCCAGCTCCCAAAGAGTCGCTCTTCGGTTGAGGTGTGTGGCCCGCTCCCCTGGCCGCCGCCCCGGAAGGAGGGGGCGGAATCTTGCCCGCGCGCGCCCCCCCCCGCCCCGCCCCGCCCCGCCCCCGCGCCTCCTGCCCCCCGACGCCCCCAGCCCCCCTCCCCCGCGCAGTCGGCGCCTTGCGAGTCAAGAGAGGAACCGCTCCAACGAGAACAAGATGGCCAAGCAGATGGGCGCGTACGACTCGGGCTTCCTCGGCGCGGGGGGCTCGCCCCGCTCTACGATGGACGCCCTCTACGACATCTTCGACGAGCTGGCCGAGGAGCCCAACGACCTCGAGCCGCTCGACGCCGTTGGGCTCGCCTCTGCGCTCGAGGAGGAGGAGCCGGGGCCGGAGGACACGTCGCTGGCCGAGGCGGTCGAGGCGATCCTCGCCATCGACAAGATTATGAACGACCTCCGCATCAACGCCCTCGACCTCTCCAGCCTCCGCTCCGTCCGACGCGTCCTCGTGCGCGCGCGCGACGCCCTCCTCCAGTTCTCTCCGCAACACCTCGTGGGCGCGGCGCGCGCCTACACCGTGGCGGGGCGGCCGGTCCCCGCGCTCCTCGAGGTGCTCGTGGCCCAGTACCAGAAGCCGCTCGCTTCGTGCCACCCGCCCCCGTCGCCTTGCGCACCTGGCTGCGCCAACCTGCCGATTGCAAACCTCGCCGCGGCGATGGACCTGAACCGGCGCGAGGCGCAGCTCCACGAGGGGTGGCAGACCAAGCCCTTCGCGGTGCAGCCCTCGGCCCGCCCCACCGTGGTTGTCGTCCCCGTCGACGTCTCGCGCTACGCCCGCATCTGAGGGGGGGGGGCACGGTCGGACGAGCCGCTCTCCGCCCATCATTCCCCCCCTTCCCTCTCCCCCAGCCGGTCGGACGAGCCGCTCTCCGCCCATAATCCCCCCCCCCCCGGGGGGGGAAATGTTTTTTTTTCTCCGCTTTAACCCCCCCCCCCTGGGGGGGGGAGAAAAAAAACC